GACATGGATCCACAAGCTCTCCGTTGCCATGCACTCCTCGATCCATTGCAGGATGGTGGTCGCCTTTGTTGACCGTGCCCTCCCGCTGCTTCATGGAATCTAACTCCCTGATCACTGTGGAGACAGTAAAGAGAAGCGTAGTACTTCAGTTAGCAACTGCAAGTAGCACACACTAGTAGTAATTCAGTGGGCAAGTGCAAGTAGATCTCTGCCACAATCAAACAGGGGCACGCAATGCAGATATCACAGGCAAGATGGATTAAACCAAGTCGTAAAATGGGAGGAAATAACAATCAAAGCCCGTGAAGCATCACTTAACAGCCTGAAAGGACAGTTAAGATGTAAAAAATGCAGAAGCTAACAGCCCTTAAATTGCTGACATTATAAGCATAGGTTGACTTGTTGAGATGGAGTATTGTATAGAGTATCATAGGCAACAGAATGAATGATGCATGCAAGCAGACATTTGTTCAAATTTCAAAACATTTGGTGACGGGAGCATAACAGAATAAATTTGAAACATTTACAACAGTTGTATTTGCTCTGAACTTACCAATCCTCCAGAAAACGGATCCAAAGTTCAAAATCTCTATGATAAAAAAGGAAGAAAACAACAGAACAATATAACTCATGTAAACAATTGAAGACATGAAAGGAACAGTAACACCCAAAGATATTGAAAACCAAAGAACTGACATACATGTTTAAACTGTAAACCAATGCTATTAGGAAACTCAGACAATGGAACTGACATACCGTTGCCAACTTTACTTCTTCCTCACAATTCGCACGCACATCTCCCTCTGCTCCTCTCTCCTCACACACCACGCATGCCGGCCAGCAGCCGCACCAATCTCATTCTCACGGGGACCAGCCACCGCACCACCCCAATGCGAGCCTACCGCGGCACCACACGCCCGCCAGCCCGCCACCGCTGCTCTTGCACGGGCGGCCGCATGCCAACGCCACAAAGAGCATCGCCCCGATTGCGCTTGATGTGCTCAGGTGGAGGTCGGCGATGTCGTGCAATGGAGGTCCGTGATGGGACGGCTCGAGCTGGGGGTGGACGTCTACTCAGTCATGGACGATGGCGCGTGCCTACTCGGAGGCGGCGAGCCGGCGTCAGCCGGCGGCGGCGCAGCGTTGGACGGCCGCGGCAGCGGGGTGGTGGCAGTGCGGCGGTGGGGCTGGCGTTGGGGCGGGCGGCGGCCTGGGGAAGGGCAGCGGCGGTGGGATGGCCAGGAGTAGCGCCGCGCGTGCTGGTGTCGGGGCGACACAGTGTGCATGGGGCGACAACGGCCTGCTGGTGTGTGCGCGTGTGAGGAAGATGAACAGGATGAAAGAGATAAGGTTTTGAGTTTAGGGGCAGGGGTAAAACGGGAATTAAAGTTTGGTTGGAATAAAAATAATGATAAAATTGAAGTGAAATCAGCGAAATGGCATTTCAGCGTGTGCACCCGGTTTGATAATGGCATTCCGACGAATCCCTTTTACATTGTGGCAAACGAGCGAAGCCCAAAGGTTGATGATGGCAAAATTCCCATTTTCTCATTAATAAGGCATTCGTGCTTCTCCAAGGCCAATAACAGTCATGTGAGCAATGCAAACCACCATGACAAATACAACACATGGATTTTCTTCATGGGAGTTTAGAGAACTCATATACTCAGTCCAACATGGTTCATCTAAGGAGATCATCACCGGCCCATTTCAAAAAGAAAGAAGGCCATGAAACCAGTCATTATAGCACATTCAGCTTTTTCAGTATACTTCGTCTGCTTTGCAAATACATACGTACCCAGAGCGTTTTGGGAATAGTTACTTCACTATATGATGATCCCAATATTGTAATATGTTGTCTTGTCATGGTGTGTATAGTGTAACCATTGTGACATGTTCTGAATCATAGGTGACATTAAAAATTCTGATAACAAAATTGTGGTCCACGGTGTACCGTGATGCCCTTTAAATGTTTTTTAACGTCAAAGAGCAATTATGTTTTAAGAAATAATTGGAAAACAGTTGGATGTGAACATTAAGTTCATCTATTGTAAGCTTCATAAATTACTTACTACACCCATACAAAAACTAAGACACACCTTTTTAAGGAATTCAGATTTATGTGCCACAGAGCAATCCTGAGAGTGTTTCATGTGTTTACTTACCATAGTAAAGTTTTTAAGGAATTCAGTATAGTATATAAGCTGAGCGCGGAGACACTGGAGCACACATGAAAGCAGTGTGGTCGTGGCACAGTTTTTCTCTAAAATCACTGTACCATGGCCCTGGAACCTCGACTTGATGTATGATTAGATTAAGTTTGTGGATACGTGCACTCAAATTTACAAGGGAAAGAGCAAGTGCCAACAATGCTTTCAGAATTACGAGTACCTTCTTCACCATGAAATTGCATACTTTAACACACGAGCACAGACCCTGAGACGAGTACGAACCCCAGCATGAGCAACTCGCAGAAACGTACTCCCTCCGTCCCGTTAAGATTGTCGCTCGGGAAGCGGGATTGTGAGGGGGGCACGGTTTTCCAACGACAAACTCAATGGGACGGAGGGAGTAGAGTCCATGTCATATCAGCTGTCCATCATGAAACTCAGAATAGCTGCGTATACTACTCATGTCTTATCAGCTGTCCATCACTGTGCATTTGACTAAAGCTGCAGCGAAAATTAAAACGAAGGTATCAAATTAGAACTCATAAGTAGATTACATGTAGCAAAAAGCTGGACAGTGCTGTGAAAAAAGGACCATGCTGAAGAAGGCTCAACTGAAAGACAAATGAGATCAAGGAAAATATTGTGCTAAGAGCTGGTAGCACAATGCATTTCCTCAGACAACTTATGGAACATTCATCCCATAGTATAACTGGCAATTTGGCGTGGAAGACACCAGACACTTATTCTAGCTTAGTGAGCATGTAACAAACTTTCACAAACATCAGAAAATTGTTCTAGTGAGCTGTTAGGCCATGTGATTGTAACTGGCAATTCGATACTGAAATACTTTATTTTGTAGCAAACCTCCAGATAAATAATGTTTAGCAGCCAGTGGCAGAGGCTCATTAGGGCTAAGTTTGCATCTAATTTTCGTATCCAATTTCAAGGAAATTCCCATCTTGCCTTGCCTTCATAAGTTGTTGAAAGATGTGCTATTAAATTGGCCTCCTCTCTATTCCTTGCCAGCCTCACTGATATAAGCTGTAAACAGCAAGCCTTTCTAGCCAACCCATCTGATGGTTGCCCCCAAGCATGCTACTTAGTAGACTGATTTATATTCTATTGTTCACGTATAGAAACATGCATGCAAATTATACTAATGTAAGATGTTGCATCAGGTGTTAATCTTAGATGTTTGGTAATAAACATCACAGAAGACAGCATTTTTTTTAGCTCGCTAACTGAACTCACAAAATAGACAAGTCTAGAAATCTTCTTTTTCACACAACCAATAAAACATGGACCTGCAACAGCTTATTGGAGTGCAAAGTAGACTAATATAACGTCTTGATGGTAACAAATCAAACCAAATAATAGTCACACAAATCTCATCAGCACAAGTGACTCCCTAAATCAACAGCCTTCCAGTATAAACTGTAGATCATTTAAGAACCAAAAAATAAAAAAACAGAGTAGTGCTCTGGTAGACCTTGTTCAAAAAACTGCACAAATCCCAAAGCATAATTAGTTAAATAATATTGTTAATAAGTTTACCCCACAATACCTGCCCATCTGACCAACCAAGCCAAACCCATTCGAACAGAACTCCGAAGATATACTCCTGTCCATTTCGCTGTTCCTCAATTGGCTCGCAGCGTTTTATTGCACCACCATTGCTGCATCCTCTGGTCTCCACCTCGCTCATTTGCACGCAATCTGCCACCACCCACCGGCTGTACTTGTCGATCTCTTGTGTGGTCTCATAATGATGATTTGGAGCATTTATTAGCAGCACTGTGACTAGGACGTTGCACAACAATTTGACTGGGAAGTGTCAGTTCCCATAAGTGTTTGAATCTGAGGGAAAGTTGAAGGATGATTTGATGTAAGTGGTGCTCATTATTGATTAGTACAGTGGCCGCTTGATGAAACAGAATATGATGTTGTTCTTGCCAAAATCAAACCAGAACAGAACTAAAGAATCCTCAGTTCTTATCGTGATGTGGGATCTAAATAGCAATAAGGGTTGCAGATGACTGTCAGAGCTTTAGTTGAGCTATGTAGCAGCTAGCAGTCACGCATCAGTTTCCAGCACTGTGATCAGAGCTTGAGGTCAGGTGTCCTAGGAGATGAGACGGGAAGACTGAATTGTAGGCGTTGGGTCTCACAAACGGTTCAGATGAAGCTAAAGTCAGCTGTAAAGTCAGAGGATCTGGATCAGAGTAATCGGCCTCCTGCTGACAAGCAATAACGAGCTGGCTCGCGAGCTAAACTAGATGAGCCTAGACGAGCCATCTCGTTATCCTAACAAGCCATAAGGAGCCAAGCCCTATCGTTAAATATGTTATCTAGGTCTAAATCTCAAAATGGTCAATGAAATCGTGTCCCTTCATGGAGATATCTTCCTAACCAACTGAAAAGTGAAGAAATGGGAAAAAGACAGCTCCATTTTGAATGTCTATTTTTCTAGCTCACCAATAAAAAATCCCCATGCTGGAGCCTGACGCACCATATCAACAACAGTAGTGTATTTTTATATTTTATATTTTTTCTGTTGACCTAGGTGACACATTTCAACCTGCAATTTCAAAGTTTACGGATATAGATGATTCTCCTAAAAGGTTTGAGTGCTGCCCATACATTTCATTTTGTAAAATATAGCAATGACTCACCAGCATACCAAGAACACAAAACAATCAACAACAGAACAATGTAGCATATTTTAAGTAAATGTAAGTTTTCACTGGAGCATTCATCACAATGCTACCTCATAAAGTTTTGAATGCTAGATAAAACAAACATACCAAAATCATCGGTAGAAGCGAGACTCTAGATCAACAGGCTTCCTGTGTAAACGCCAATGCTTTGAGATTCTGCAAGTCCCATTGCCCTGATATCCAACACATCTGCTAAATTGTCGGTTGTTGGATCATAGCATTTTAACAATCGCTCAACCATTTCAAAAATGACTATCCTCCCATCATCTAATATCAGTAAAGGATATACAAGGTAACCAAGGTGCTTCATACTTAATCTGTACTTTTTAACCCAAAGACCTCTCTTGTGATCCACTAGAAACCATAGGTCGAAAGAGACACCAGCATCATTGTCAACTATAACCAAGCTGCCATTTAAGTTGGCTAATGAGAGTACCCGCCCAGAGTAGAGGCCAAACTTAGCACTTCGCAATGGCTCTGGACCCCGAAGAGTTGGCAGGTGGCATCCACTTCTCTGTATCGAGGTCGAATGGAGCTATGCTGGTTGGTTCCATAACAGCATAATCAAACAAGAAATACACAGCCCCATTGACAGCTAAGCATTCCATGATTTGATCTCTCGTAAGGTTGCTGGGTGGGTTCTGCTTTCTCCTCCACCTTCCCTGGCTACTGCCATCAAGGGTGTTGATGTCACATAGCAGAGACTGCGAGCGATCAGGATGGCTAATGCGGAGTACCTTGTAGTCGCCAGTAGAAGCAACCTGTCCAAAAGCATATGTAACCGTCTTGCAGTTGTGCCTCAAAGCAGAACCCCAATTAAATCTCCGCTCTATGCAAATGCCCACAAACTCATCTGAATGAGGCCCGGGCAAAATGAGGGCAACTGCGGTGGCCGGGTTGAGAACCCAGGCGGCCAACGAGGGCTAGCACATCCTGATACCACAGAGGCGGTCGAGGTGGGTGAGCAGCAACTCGATGCGATCGGAGGCAATGCGTATCCGCCTGAGAATCTGCCCCGACAGGCTCACGATGGCGACGCCCCTGATATCACCGTCCCTAAAGGTGAGGGCGAAGAGGGGCTCCGTGTGGCGGGACTTGTGCTCCGCGGCGAAGTGAGGGTCGGAGGTGAGGGCGTGCCAGGACAGGCAGACGGCGCGGAGGCGACAGAGATCCTTGGCCGGGAGGCGCAGCAGGACCTCGAACAGCGCGTCGGGAGGCAGCGCCGGCGCGCCGGTATCGGGTACCGAGGCGGCATGGCTCAGCTTAGAGCTGGACGCCATCGATCTGTGGTTGTGCGAGATCGGAGGCGGAGAGGGATGGACGGCGGCGCCGCCGGAAGGGAGCTCAGTCGTCTGGGGAAGGGTTGCCAAGGTTTTAGATGACAGGAGATTGGGCCACTCCAGGCTGGGCCTTTGTTTCTGGTAACCAGTGACGGCCCAATTTTGCTACTGTCAGCTCTACCCGTGTCCTGTGAAGCCTTAAGCTGAAGCCCAAAATCATTGTCAGCTCTACCCGCAGCAGATGATTTGGCTCTTTAAGTCGACGTGGGCTCCATGGATGGCTAGAAAGTGAATCAAAATTAGAATGGGTCGCGTGATAGTCAATTGGATATATTTTGTAAACAGTGACAACCCAATTCTTGCTCCTGCCAGCTCTATCCTTGGCCCGTGTCCATAGGGCCCTTTCTATTCGATTTGATTATTCGATGTCAACTTGCAATATGAGTTGATTTGTGCGAAGCCACATTTTGCTGGCTCCGCCCGTGAAGAGGAAAAGTGCTCCGGCTCCTTACCCCTTCATGGATGCTGTTTTTGGTTTGCCCGTTTGGCGGGGCCCGGCAGGACTGGTAGAGCCATGCTAAACAGGCTCTAAGTCATTATGAGTTTTTTTAGATATGTATTTATACATAATGTATATCTAGGCATTAGCAAAAATAATGTAACTAAAAAAAGCTAAAACAACTTATAGTTTCAAGCGGTGGGAGTACCTTTTAAGATCGAAAAAAGATGAGTCGTGGGTCCCCTTTCTCTCGGGGCAGCCCACGGGACAAGCACATGAAAAGTTTAAGGTCCGATCCACCTGTAGCCACAATAACTCCCATGCTCCGCGTTCTAAAAAACCCCCAATTTTTGAACAAAAGACATGAAAAACTTCATATTACATGGATTTCATGTTGCTTTCCAAAACTCTGTACGGTTAAGAAAGAGAAACTCCCAACACTCCTGAAAAAAGTGGGATGCCCCTTAGGTACAGCGGGGGTGAGGGTTCAGGTGACTGAGACCTAGTTAAAATGTTGTCAAACCACTAGTTTTTCGAGCGTTTTCACCATGACTGCTCCACCGGTCCTTGGCCACCACCTCGGCCTCCAATCGATAGTCGGCCACCCAACACCTAGCTATGACCAGCTTCGGCTTCTCGCTGCTGGCTGGCTACGCACGCCGTGGGTGGCCAGCATGTGGCCATGGTCGACTATGGCTAGTTGCGTGTTGTCGGTGTTTCGGACCACCGACGAGTAAATTTGTATCTGTGCGTCTGGCTCGGATGGTGTGCTCGAAGGACACAAGGATTTATACTAGTTCGGGCGGAATGTCCCTACGTCTAGTTTGCTGTTGCTCGTGTTATCGACACTAGTTTGTAGTAGGGATTACAAACAGGCGAGAGAGGGAGAAGTTTCTAAGTCTCTAGTGAAAAGATCGAATGGAGAAGAGTCTTGCTGGGCTCGTTCAGCTGTGTGTTTGTTCTGCAATGTGTTCGATGTCAGTCCGTTTGCCATGTGTTGTGGGGAGTCCTGCTTCCCCTTTTATAGGTGAAGGGGAATGCACCGGTTACAGAGAGAAAGAAGGGGAAAAGCCAGGGAGAAGAAGGCCTCCAGGGCCGTCGGGTCCTTCTTCTCCTTCATGCGGGTCCCACCGACGTTGTAGATGGTGATGGGGATGGATCCACGCCGGGCTCCTGTTCACCACTAGTGCCATGCCCCAGCATCATCAGCTGGTCGTGGCATCCCATCCCGTCCCTACAGAAGACGCGACGAACTGACGTGCCGGTCAGCGACCGTATAGAGAGTAGGCAGCACAGTGACCATGCATCCATCACTGTTGGCGATGTGAACCCCCGGGCATGGCCTGACGTGGCCATGGGTAGGACGGATGCATGATCGATTGATGCCCATGGCGTCGAGTGTCTCAGCGTACCTGATGTTGAGGCCGCTGCCTCCATCCATCAACACCTTGGTGAGGCGCTTCATGCCAACAATCGGGTCGACCACGAGCGGGTGTCTTCCCGACTACAGGACGCTTTTTCGGGTGGTTGGTCCGATCAAAGGTGATGGCGGACTCCGACCATCGAAGGAAGGAAGGCATGGCCAGCTCGGTCATATAGGCCTCGCGGCGCGCAAGCTTCTGACAGCGCTTGGAGTCATAGGCCGCCGACCCTCCGAAGATCATGAGGCAGTTGTTCGGTGTCGGGAAGCCGCCATCCTTCCCCTCGGCATCGTCTGTGGCCGGCTTGGGCTCCTTCCTATGCTCCCCTTGTTGGAGCTACCGGACAAGAACCGCTTCATGTGGACGTAGTCTTTGTATAGTTGCTTGACAGGAAAGGCATGGTTCGGGCATGGCCCTTCAAGCAGCTTCTCGAAGTGGTCCGGGGTACCCTCGGTGGGCTTCCGACCCTCCTTGCGGTTGGCAGCGGCCACGAATGAGCCCTCACGGCGCTGCTTGTTCTTCTTCATGTTGGGGCGGTTGGAGGCGCCTTTGCCGACGTCCTCGTCCCGCTTTGCCTTGCCCTTGGGGCGGTCGAAAATCACCTTGACTGCCTCCTCGCCCGAGGCATGGCTGGTGGTGATGTCGAGGAGCTCCTTGGTGGTTCACGGGCCCTTGCATCCCAGCTTGTGAACCAGGGACTCGCAGGTGGTCCTGGACAGGAAGGCTCATATGACGTCGACGTCGGGCAGTTCGTTGCACTGCCAGGAGAAGTGTCGGATGTACTCACGAAGAGTTTTCCTAGACTTCTGTTGGTAGTTTTTGAGATCCCATGGGTTCCTAGGACGCGCATAGGTGCCCTGGAAGTTTTCCACGAAAATCTCCTTAAGGTCTGCCCAACTTTGAATCCGGTTGGGCGAAAGGTGCTCCAACCATGTTCGCGCCGAATTAGCCAAGAACAATGGAAGGTTGTGAATAATGAAACTATCACTATCTGCCCCACTGGCTTGGCAAGCAAGTCGGTAATCCTCGATCCACAGTCCGGGGTTCGTTTGCCTAGAGTATTTCAGGATGTTGGTCGGCGGTCGGTACCACAGTGGGAAGACGGCGTTGAGGATATGTTGGCCAAAGGCCTGAGGCCCCGATAGGTCGGGGCACGAGCTTCGATCCTCGCTGCTATCGTAGCATCCGCCATGATGAGGGTGGTGGCCACAGCTGGCTTCCTCTCTCTCATCGCTCTGTGCACGCCTACGGGCATCCAGGGTGTTACGTGCGTCATGGTGAAGGCCGAGATGCTCATGCACCAAAGCCGTGGTGTGCTTCCCGTCGATGCATGCTGCCTAGTGGACAGACACGTCCCTGACATGTCATCCCGAGGGTGCATGTTGGCTGGCGTCGAGCTCATGTCGTCGAGACAGCAAGCTCTCCGCCTACTGCATCGCTGTGCTCTCGAGCAGCGTGTGGATCTCACGTTGGGCCCGACGATCCTCAGGTGTCACGGGCTCCGGAAGCCCTCGAAGCAAGGCCGCTGTGGCAACGATGTTCTGGCTTGCCTAGGCAAAGTGTGGGAGGGCTCCATCATCCTCGATGATCCTTTGATTCACATCGCGGGCCATGGCACGCGCACGCCCACCATCTCCATAGCGCTCGATCTCTTGCTCGAGCTTCGCGCGCTCCTGCTCTAGCTGGAGTCGCGCATCCTCGAGTTCCCTATGCCACGCCCTCAGCTACTCCACCCACAGGCGAGGTGGGGCCCCTACATCTCCCTCGACCTTGTCGTCGAGGTCGTTTGTTGGGGTAGCCCTCCCTTGTGGTCACTTTCGACACGTCCCTCGTGGGTACCTGCCATGAAACATTCTCACGAGGGGTGATGGCTCCCCCTGCTGGAGTCAGAGTCAGAGGGCGACTCTAAATCTCCCGCGAGAAGGTCGTGGAAAGACTCCACGATGTATTCGGTCATCCCCATGAACTCATCATTCGTAAGGGGATGGAGGCGTGTGCTGCGCCACAAGGTGGCCAACGGTCCCCACAGCATTGCAGAGACCGAACGGGAATGCTGTCGGAGTGCTCTGGATGAGGTATTCCAGGGAGAGCGATTCCCCCCTAGCAAGCTACGCCATGACGTGGGCGAACGAGAAGGTGAGGCAGTGCAGGTCCTCCCGGGATGGTCGGGGTCCTAGGAAGACATCGAGCTAGCACTCTAACCTCCCGTAATCGAAGCTAAGGAGCTAGCTACTCCCAGGGGCACGGGCCTCCGATGCGTGTAGCTACAGCTCCTCAAGCGCCTCAATGATCATGTCGAGGTCGGCAAAGTGGAGAGGCTGGACGGCGACAGGAGCCTATGCCGCCTCTCCCTCCATCGTGACGATGAAGTCCAGGTTCCCGAAGCACACGTGCACACCTAGGACCCAGCTGACTCCATGACTAGCCATCTGAGGCCTGATGTGGATGTCAAGACGTGCAAAAGGCCCCCTACCTGGTGCACCAGCTGTCGGTGTTTCGGACCACCGACGAGTAAATTTGTATCTGCGCATCTGGCCTAGATGGTGTGCTCGAAGGACACAAGGATTTATACTGGTTTGGGCGGAATGTTCCTACGTCCAGTTTGTTGTTGCTCGTGTTATCGGAACTAGTTTGTAGTAGGGGTGACAAACGAGCGAGAGACGGAGAAGTTCCCAAGTCTCAAGTGAAAAGATCTAAAAGTGCATCTAGCCCTTTAGGGGGTTTTGGATGATTCAATGACAATGTGATTAAAGGTCTAACCCGTTTGCTAAGTGTCGATAGGTAATAAATTATCTCATAGGTACTTAATGAAAGCCAAAATGATGTGTTGTTGTATAAATAATCTAGTTCAAGCACAAGACAACAATGCAAATAGAATGCATGCAAAGGCTTATTTATTGTGGGATTTGCATGTACTATGTGAAAGCAAGCCCGGTAAAAATTAGTTGATGAGACATGAGGGGTTGCATATGGAATGGTCTCATATTTGAAGCTTGCTAAATTAAAATGAAAAAGATAACAATACAAATGAATGGATGATTCAACATATGATGTGACTTGATGGCTTGAGATGGTGAAGA